GGACAGCTTCCATCAGAATCTCCAGTGTGACTGCCATTCTGTGCAGGAACTCATGAGAGATTTTATAAGTATCTGGCTGTACTTTTGGGTATCAATGGTAGCACAGTCTCTTCTGCAGACAAAGGTAATACACAGTAGAAACTGTATGATTAACAGCCTGCAATTCCTCTTCCTCAGAGTCTGTGAGACAGATGTTTCAATCATACACAAAGTTCACATACTTGGGATGAAAAAGACACGACTGGAATTGATTTAACAGAAGCAGGTACGATTTGGTTATTTAGATAGATAATAAAGAAAATACGTTCTAGGATACGAGAGTCACTAAATCATAATGTCACTCCTAGTCCTTGGATAACAACCACAAGCATTGCAACAATTAAGAGAACACACATATTGTACCATTCTGTACTCCACTGTGCTAATAACATATGAATGACAGGAGTAGTATCACAGAATGGTTTGGAAAGGACCTCAAATATTATCTGGTTCCAACCCCTTGTTGCTAGAGTAAACAGCAGAACAGCCAAAATCACAGACTGGTATGGCAAACCAGAGAGAGAATACCTGGTGGATCCTTGCAGGTTTTAAATTTTACTTCGTAATAACAGAATTAAAAGATAACTGATTCTTTTTCCAGAATTCACGAGGAGAAACCCAGACCTGCACCTTAGGTGTGTGGCTCAGCTTACCATGTGAAAACTCTACTAGAGCATTTCTGTGTGTAAACACCTCTGATTTCTGTGTTTATTTAAGGAATATCTTACAAAATAGCGGATCTCAAAGATGTACCTGACATCCAAAACAGTGTAAAAATATTTCATGGACTCATAATGCAGCATTATTGTTCCATAACTACCAAGATTCCAAACAACTGAGGCTCATACTCTGTCATAAGAAAAAAGCATTAGTAGAAACAATTCAGAGGAAAATGCAATTGTGTTTAAAAGAGACTGAAATGTAAAAATAAAAATTAAAAACAAAAAAAACCAAAACAAAACAAGTAAACAACAAAATTTGACATTTTTGGTAAAAAACTCCAGGTGACAAATAGTAAATTATTTTGATTTTGATTAAGTGCCAATTTACTGAACAATTTCTCTGCTAAAAAGAAACTGAGCAGAGTTGGATTCATTCTTCTATCTACACGAGAGCTGCATCTTATCATGCAAACTGACTCAAAGGTTCCAGCTGAGTAAGAGAACCCGGACTGATGTGTAGGACACAACTACACCATCAATAGGATTCATGGATAATAGGAACAATATTGATAATAATTTACCTTACCCAGACCCCTTTCAGATAATAGCAAAGAAGAACTGCTGCTCTGCTCCTCTCAAACCCCAGCTGTGGTCAGTCTTACCATCACTGTGTACCAGCAAGAGCGTTCACTGCCCTTTAGGGGGCTTAACCCACCAATAATTCCTGCACTATTGGTAAAGAGCTGTCAAGAATCAATATTCCTAAAAAAGTTTTCCTGCCTTCATGTTAGTTATGCAAAATAAATTACTCCCCTCAGCAATATCAAAACCATATGAACAGTAATGGTGAAGAGTAGCAATCACAGGAATTTTAGCAGGCTTGCACTGGATAGCCAGCTTCAAAGCCTCACACAGACATCCTGAGCTCAAATGAAGGTCAAAATTGCAGTTGCACCTCTTGCTTTTTCCTGTATTTTTCTCTTGGCTGAAATCCTCTCGTCTGCCTGCAAAGCAAAGGGGCCCAGTCTTTTTTATCCTCTTTATTGTTCTCATAAGGAAGTTCCTGCTGTTGGTTGGTTACAGAATAATTGAGTATGCCTTGTCCACAGACATTTCTTTCAGAAATGTAGATTTTTACATGAAAACAGAATATTTCACTATCATCACTGTTTTTTTCTTAATTAAGAAGCTACTACGGCTTGAGCAATCTCCCTCTTTTCCTCTTTCCACTTCATTAATTTGGCATCCTTCTTTCAGAAGAAGGAACTTCCCTGTTCAGAGGCGGGGATATATTTCAGGGGGATTAATTTGTTTTTAAACAATGAATCAGTTAATTCTAAACTTAGTGTATTGGCATATCTTTCCTACAAGAACAGACCATTTTATATAATAAAAATAATTCTAGAAAAGAACAGACACAGTGACCAATATACTTATCACTAACCTTGCTAGAAGAAACTATTCATAAATTGTTCTCTGCTTCTGCTGCACAATTCCTTAAGAAATAGTCACATTTTTATGTACTTGCTTCAAATGAAATTCTGAAATGCCTTTCAAAACCAACAGCAGAAAATATTTTTAACATCTTCCCAACTGTGAAATTAATTTGTAACAGAAACAAATGTAACATTTCATTCTGTAAATACACAGACAATAATTCAACAGAGGACTGAAATGGATACCCTGGATCTTGGGCAGAAATTTGGTAAAAATAATTTAGTTTGTGGGGTTTCACCCCCACCCTTTTCTTGTACATTCTCCTGACACATTTATAGAAAATGACTTTTAGGTTCTCTAAATATTTAGAGCTGTGCTCCTGCACAAGTCCAGAGCTGATCTCTTACATGCAACATTGTGCCTATTTTATGCTAAATCAATTTACTGATTCCAGGTGACTACCAATTCAGCAGCAGGAACAACAAAACAGTACCAGGCAAAGTTCTTAATTTCTTACAGTTAATAATGAAGTGTGCTAATTACCTCTTATCTGCCCTGTGAACTGCTGATACGCTCTGTCCATTTTTAGCATAGAGAATCTCCACTTTAACACCTGCTTGTTCAGTTTGGTGGGAAGGGTTTGGAACTAAAACACTGAGGTATTTAGATAGAACACACAAGAAGGCATTAGTATTTCCACAAATCAGACTAAAATACAGCTGTTTGTATAAAATGTACAAGATCCAAACTAAAAATAAAACAAAAAAACAAATCCCAACCACCTCTTAAAATCAGAAGGAGTAAGCCACTGGGCAAATTAACATTGACCAATTGGTTTTGTGCTATTTTAAGACTAAAATGATGTATAGAGGTTGCTTAAATAGTTTCTCTTGCATTGCAAAGTTTTTCAGTTCTGATAACAGAAAAAAAATTGTCTTTATGCAATACATACCTGCTTCATTTATTCTTCAGTCAATACTAGGAATTAGGTTTGAGTATTTGTACACAACAGTCACAGTAGTTACAAGATCAAATGAAACTATTGCAATTGTTTTGTAACCCATTCCTAGAAGAATTCAAAATGAGTACAGAGAAAGTCCAAGCATGTTATCACCTAGATTTTATTTACTTACGTATACCACAGGAGATTTCTGATGTTAAGAGTGCATATTTTGTTGTGACTAGATACAAAGTAGAAGCAAGAAGAATTTCTCAAAGTAATTGTTACTGTTCTGAAAGCACTAATGGGTTAATAATACTGCTTCTAAATTTTTTAAAAGTCCAAATAATGGTAAAACATTTCACACTTTTACTAAAATTGAAAGGTGCATGAGGAAGAAATAAAAGTGCTAGGATTCCCCAAGGCATTATGAAGAGCTGTACACAACACACACATTGCATATCTGCAGGTGTACAAATGATTTCTGCCTGTTCAGAGCAGTTAATAAGTCATTGAATTTACAGACACGTGCTCTGGATTTCTTGGCAGCCTAGTTACAAGTTTCTACTCATTATCGTTCACAATCACCTTGGATCTTCAACAAACATTAAAAATTAACAACTACTTCAAGAAGCAGTAGAAGATCCTGGGGCAAGTACCATAAGTTTGCCCTGAGAAACATATTCCTTCACAGACATCAGCTTGCGTCTCATAGTAGAAAACCAGCCAGATGCTGTAGACAAACTGAATGATCCAGGTCAGCTGTACTCCTTTGAGCTGTGCTTTGTGTTAAATGACAGAAGCATTAGAAAGTGAGCCTGTGTGAGATGCTGCACACCTGTGGGTGCCAGAGCTTCAGAGAAGCAGAAGCTCCTGCCATCTACCCAGTTACTGGGTTGATAGCTTGTTTTCCAATTCTTAATTGATAGACCAACCTACGAAAAAGAAAAGCTTGCTGCCAACACAGCTCCAAAGCACTCCTGTTCTGTTGAAGCTGAGCTAAATATAAAGTACCTGCAAGAGAGTATACATGGCTTTTGCTTTATTAATTGAACAAAACTGAACAAAACTGTACAAATATGCTAAGGGGGAGGGAAAAATCAAAATTATTGGGTCAGTATTAAACCACATACAACCAACTCTCAAATTTGTCTCCTCTGTAGCCAGGCAGTTAAAGTCAAAGGAAAGAAAGCACTTCAATTACCCAAAGACAAGTACAGGCTCTATAGCAAGGAAATGTAAACAATGAGAAGCAACAATTCTGTTTGTGAGAGATGTTTTGCCCAGAAAGGATGAAATGCACTTTTCACACTTGGAGAAAAGAGGGTACACCAAAAATGTTTCTTAGCCAAAATCTACTTAGTCCAGCATGACATATTTTCCCATGAAATGTCTTACCAAGAAGTTACTTTGGCAAGGCAGGTGCTTTTCCAGGAAGTTTAGCAGGGAACAGTGGCCAATTTCCTAGTGCTTTGCCTTGAACAGCAGCATGGTTCCCTGCACTAAGCTAAAGGATAAAACATGAAGTACTAGCTAAGAGGCACACAGCCAATGAATGTGTGGTTTCTATCACTGACATTAAGAGATTAGCTACATTTCAGCTGGCCCTATTTGCTTTCCAGATAAGGCAGAAAACCCCAAACCAAACAAAAACAGCCAACAACAACAACCAGCCTCACACAACAATGCAACAGTAATATGCAGAAACATTTACATTTTCTTCCACAGACTAACAGATACATTTCAAAGACACTTTAAACAAAAAACTCAAGTTTATTTTTCTTTCTACATTCTTAGCAAGCATGTTTGACTATGTTATACTTGTAGCAGAGAAAGGTCTACTTTCAGTAAGAAAACAAAAACATAGTTAATTAGGTACTAATAAATATTTCTAGCCATTAGCTCTGTATAATGCAACCTGACATAATAGACATCAAAATACAAATTATTTCAGCTTTAACATGGTAGCACTCTAAGCCATCAAATTTCCAGAATTTCAGCTCTTTGGTGAATCCAGTTTCAAAACAATGATGCATCACACAACAATCCTGCTTAGTTATGTAGATTAGTTCCTCTTCTTAAATTGCTTTAACCAGAGGTAAGGCTTTATAAACAACACAAATGGACATCGCTTTCGGTGAACTTTGCTATATTGATCCAATGAAAGGAACTAATCCATTCTAAAAACATACAAAGAAATTAGGTATGACAAAGAAATGTTTGAGTTCTAAATAGGTGGGATTAGAAGGATTATACAAAAGGTTACTCCTTAATATGAGTCATTTTAAAAGCATGAACTCATCAGCCATTGAAGTAGTTTCCATTCAACCTGTAAAATATATAAAGTGTACCATTCCAGAAATGGAAAACAATTATTTACCACTGGAAAAGCTTTCTTAGAATTTGAGAAGTGCCAAACCTCTCTGCAAGCATTAAATAACTAAAAAATGTGCATCTCATCATATATCCTAATTCTCTCCCTTCTCTCTCTTCTTTCTCAAGGTTTTCTACTCTCAAAGTCTCTGCAAGAGGTAGAAGATGAAGATACATTGCTAGCTGCATTAAATCTAGGAAAAACTCTACAAAACGGAGATAAAATTAAGAACAGGGGAGCTATACCATTGCTGAAGCACTACAAGACTGAAGACAGCAGTGTTTTCAATGATAAGAATGCTGGAAACATGAAGTTTTTGGTGAGTTCAGTTTTCAATTTTGGCTTAATTGTAAAATTGAAATTCATTTATACTCCTTTAGAAAATCAGTACAACAATTTAAAGCAATAACTAGGTAAATATATAAAAATACCAGTTTAACAGAATATAGTCAAGAAAAAAATTCAACTCTATATATCTAATGCCAAGATTCTAAATGTGGAACTTGGGGAGTTGAATTAAATCTGGTTTTCACAGACAGTAGTCAAAACTTGGAGGATAGGGGGTGGGAGGGTAAGAAGAAACCTGTATTTATATTTTTTTATGTCCCTATATGCAGCAACAGGTTTTTAACTTTGCCAGACATGGGACTCATTATTTATGTCCATTAAACCATTTTGGCCAAAGATGCAATACAGGTCATTACTATTAAGGTATGATTTTGAAACATAAAATAACTGCACTGTTGGAATATAAGGAACAAAGTGTTAGAACTGGCTATCAAAATGATAGAACTGGCTTTAAATAAAGAAACTCTTGTCTTCCCTCAAAACAGGACAGAGGTTCCAGACAGGATTTCTTCAATCATGTCATGCCAATCAACTTAGGTAGAAAGCAACTACCTTATCCTGCACTGAAGGGAGCCATGGCTTTTCCAGTTGACACTGAAATTCAAAATATTGAGTCAATACAGGAAAGAGAGACCACAAATGAAAAAAATTCAGCTAAGTTCCCTATAGGAAGAAGAGATTTTGACAGTAAATATTTTTTACTTTTATAAAAGATATAAATATTTTTTATTTTTACACATGAAATTATTTCATTCTGGTACACTGCAATGTCAATGTAGTAATTTGGTAAAGGTTCATGACTTATGACTTAGTGCATGGGGGAGGGAGCATTTGTTAAATTAATATTTCCAGAAGCCATAAGAATTCTTGTTCTTTGATGATTTAATCTTTCAAGCTCTTTTTTTCTCCTGTAGTCCTCAGGTGTATGCTGGGAAGAGTCTATCGACCTTGCTGGCAAGTGTGAAAACCACTTATCTCCACCACCTTCTCCGAAGATTAAACATTTTATTCTGAATTTAATGTAATTTGAAGTTACTCAGTGTTAGTGTAACTGTACATACACATCCAAAAATAATTTCCCAATGCATTGCAGAGGGATACATAATTCATTAACAAAAATAACAGTGTAATTATTAACAATGTACTGTTATTAAAAAATAAAATACTTCAGCATAATCCAGACTTGTAAGTAGTTGTCTACTATAATACACAAGCTACTTTCAATTATTTACATATGAAAGCAAGTGATTCATAAATTTCACCTGTTTTCTTGCAAAATTTTACAACTGTCACCATACCATGTATGTGAAAACAAAAACTTAGAGTTGAAAAAAGCGAGTTAATTTTGCCTGACCAGCAATCAACTTATTCTTACTTGCAGTTTTGGTCTGTTTTCTTTTTCCACCAATTTTGCTGTCCAATTCCTTCTTAGAGATGTCTGAAGTCTTAAGTCTTTTAGTATTTTTTTGCAAAGATGGTTCACTTTCCTTGTCACAGATTATTTTGTCATTATTCAAATCCATCTGTTCATTCTCAGAGTTCTTGTTCCTTGGCTGACAACTCAGCTTTCCCATTTCTGTATAACTTCTAGTCTGGTGAACACTTTCAGAAATAGTTCCAAGCCCTGGTACATCAAGACATGAATTTGGACCTTCTGTCATGTAAGAATATCAAAAACATATGTGAGGAAATAAAAAGTTACCTGAGAACATACATCCTTTTTCTATAAGGACTACCATGTTATTTTTTTTAATCAAAAATAATGTATTAGCAATAAAACAAAGCTATGCTTGTCATTGCTATTAAATTTGCTATGTGTTCATAAGTGCATTGCCAATTTAAAATTACATTGCTCAAAAACATGTAAGAACTAACTCAGGGAAGTGGATTTATAACTTTAAGATATTGGAAGAAAGGGTTAAAGGGCATAGAAATTTTATATATTATATAGTTTGTAGCGCAGTAAAACAAATTTTCCCCAGTTTTAATGGCAAAAAATATAAATTGTACTTGGCTTACTTTTGTAGAATAAGAACAAATGTCATATATGCAACATATATCACTTTTGTACTGCAAGATAGCATCAACACACTTTTCAAATATTTATATTTTCAAAGCATTGGCATTGCAATTTTATTGCAAAAAGATTTAGCTAGTATATGAGACATTGAGGACAATGAGACATTTTTGTTCCTTTTCTTGAAAACATTGGAGTTATACTAAAGGCTTTTTGGATAGCATTTAAAGTATTACCCATCACATTTATTTATTCAATCCTACCACAGCTTACCTGTGGGCTTTCCAGCTTTTAAATGTTGCTTTGGTACAGGATGTTTGTAGGTTGGAATTGCATGGGAATGCTGACCACTCATTTCACTCAGATCATTTTTATACGTACAGGCAAACTGGGATTTAATTGAAGATTGCTTCATCTGAAAATACCAATCTGCTATTAGCTTCTATAACTAAAAAAATGAAAGACAACACCAGCAAGACTTGTATAATAACACATAAAATACCAGAAAAATGGATATGTTCACATTAAAGAGTAAAATGAGATATTAACTCACAAAGCAGAAGGCCTTTCAAGAATAATCATTTATTATTCTATTAAAAGTACTAAAATAATTCAAAACTATTATTTTCAGCTCTTTTAGAAAGGTACACATTAACTCTTAGAGCTTCAAATTCAAGTTTTCTGTCTTAAGTTAGCCCTGTCTTCTGATAGACTCCACTGCTTTGAGTAGGTGTCGCAGCTACTACAGTCAATTTTCATACTTCTGCAGTTCATCATCTATACTGCTATATGAAAATATCAAGTACTATTTCAGGTTTCCCGTTTATTCACAAAACAAAGCCATTTCACCACTGAATGCCAACGTCTAACTCCTCATTTCCCAAAACATACCCATTCAGCTCAAGTCACAGGTAAAATTTCCTCAGCTTATTCTTAAGTTACTGCTTCACATCAGCTGAGAAGTTCGGGTCAAGCCTTGTACTTTCTGGGCAATTGACCATAAATGGTAAAAGTTCTGCAAGACAAATTCTGCCTTCACTTCCATTTGAAAGTGCACTGGATTATACAAATTATATTGAAAGATGTAGCACAGAACAGATAACTACAATACAACTGGATTTTTAGCTAACAATTCTATCACAACAGCACAGGCAAATTTAAATAAATTTGAGCTGAATAGGCACTTCAGTAAAATCATCAGAGAAAATAACAAGTAATAAACACTGTTACAAAATAAATATTACTACATAAACAGATAGCAGGAGTGATTTGTTGAGTAAGAGGTTTACAGACACTTTTCTGATTAAAAGGTTTGCATTATGCAAGTCTACTTTTCTTCTTAGCACAAGCAAGATTAAGCCTTGCAGTTCAGATTTGACCCTTAGAGATATACTTTTCTTCTAACTCAAATTCTCAGATTTAGACAGAAGGAAAGAATAATATTCCTAGAAACCTCCTTTCACAAAGAACATCATCCAAAAAATTCAGTCACAAATGATGCCACTTTGATCAGATCCTGCTTTCCTACATATAGGGTAACAGACTTGAACTGATCACTGAGATGCAACCTAGATCTCTTCATAGTACTGCTGTTGGCCAAGGGAATACACTGAGTATTTGGAAAAAAATACCTCATTAATTTACAGAAACAGTTCTTTCTGGTTCAATACACCTAGACATAATTTTACTTTAATCTTCAGTATTCCCTTCAAGAGTCAAAAAGACCCAGTTTTCCCTGCTGTCTGTCACTCCCAAACTGCAATTTATTTGGGCCAGATAACAGACTTTCAAGTATTAATCTACTTTGTACTTTAAAATATTTACCACAAAATAAGACTACATACATAGAACATTTAAAAGGTTTGTATGCTTCAAGATTATGCCTCAGCTCACTGACTGTAAGCAGAACTATAGAATATGCTGAGTTGGAAGGGAACCACAAGGACCATCAAGTCCAACTCCCGGCCCTGCACAGGACACCCCAAGAATCACACCACGTGCCAGAGAGCATTGTCCAGACTGCTTGAATTCTGTCAGGCTTGGTAGTGTGACCATTATGCTGGGGAGCCTGTTTCTAGTGCCCAATCAACATTCAGGTGAAGATCTTTTTCCTAATACCCAACCTAAACCCCTCAAAAATTTTCATGCTATTCCCTTGTGTCCTGCTGCTGGCCACTTGAGAGTAGAGATCAGAGTCTGCAACTCCTCTTCCTCTTGTGAGGAACCTGTAGACTGTATATGTCAATATATTCTTTTCAGAAAGTGTTCTGAAGGACAGAGCTGTTGTCTAATTTAAATTTAGTGAACATCATATTATACAATTACAATACTAAGGAGATACAGGGTTTGCATTTCCTTTCAGCTTCAGGTTACTGTAATATTAATGAAAAATATTTTCCAGTACTAGATATATTTTTGAAAAACTTAAACTTTACAAATTCCTCCATTCTCAACTATTGTTCAGTAAATAACACATCAAAAATTATGCAATTCATATTCATATTGCAGGAGGCAAATAAGCTACAATTTTGCAAAGCTGATGAATCTATAATAAATACAGCATGAAGAACATAAAATTTGAGCAAGAAAGCCTGATAGTTACCATTCTATAACCAACAATAAATGCAGGGTTTTTTTATAAACAATAGTGTTTCTTTTTACTCCCATCTTTCACTAATTCAGTTTGTAGGGATAGAATACATGGAGTCAACAGACAGAAGTCAAGCTCAAACACTGAAAAACTCACAACATAAACCCATCTGTGTTTCAACTTCACTGAAGCTTGAAATATGTCTATTGCATCACATACCAGTCAGGCATTTGCAAACAGAACACAAAGCTCTACCAAATCAGACTGTGGATGCTAGAACTAATCTAGAGGGTGTATATATGGTCTAAGACAACTTCTTGAAGCAGTCAAACTTTTCAGCTAGTCCAGGAACATATATTCACTAGTATAAAGAACTGTATGACACTCCTACACAGAACTGTATTACATTGGTTGAAGTAGCAATAAGCACACTTTAACAGCCTGAAGGCAGCACAAAGGAGCACAAGTCCAGCACTGAATTAGAAAGTAGAGCTTCACTGGAATGTTTTTTAAGAAGATCAACCTAAAACTTTACTTGACACACACAAGGAAACCTGCCAACAGCTTGGAAAAGCTCATAGAAAAAAAGCCCTTGGACTTCTTTGATATTAAATTCCCTAAAATTCTCTGCTTTAAGAGTACCACTCCAATGACCCACAGCTCTGGGAGAGAAAAACTGTTGGGAAATCAGTTTTCTAACTGAGTAGCTGCACACAAGTGGCACACAATGAACTCAGTCTTACTCTTCCTTCTTCTGTTCACAAGCAAGTTGGATGTTGCTCTTATTCCCACAAAAAGAAAAGTTCTGCTGCATTTCAGAAAAAAAAAAAAGGTTCACTGTTACCACTCTTTAGCTGGGAGAAAGTAGGAGAGAATTTACAACTGTTTCAGCACAGGTAGGTCAATTGGAAGTCCTAACAAGCAAATAAAGCATTACATTCTCCCACCTTGACATCTGTATCTAGAGAAATGTTTCAGTTGTTCAAGATGCTCATATAAAACATTTGCTTTTATGTGAAATATTAATGGTGCATGCTCTATTTATTTCTAAATGTTAGATTATAATCTGTTCCAGATCTCCTTCCAGCATCTGCATACAGACAGTACTGCCAATATTTAGTCACTAAGAATGTTGAGATTTGGTTTTTATGCACTGGAATGGCATAATGGAATTTGAAAACCTACATCAGTAACAACAAACACATGTTTTTATTTTCTAGCCAAACAACTAAAGTATTATTTGGAAGGGAAAAAGAGATGAAAAGAAAATTTATTTTCTCCATCCTTACCCTTGTCCTTTAAGAAAAAAAAATATTCAAGGTAAGGTTGAAAGAGGAAATGGATAAAGGGAAAGGAGTAAAAAGGGACAAGTAACAAAATAATAAATTATATCTTTGCCAAACAAAGGCATGTTATTAAAAATATCCTGGATATCTCAGGTAGTAGCAAGTTTTTATTGTACTGAAACAATCAATTTTTTTTTTTTTTAGCACGATATTGCACCAGTCTTTTGCTATCCCAAAATAACCTGCTACTGTTTTGAGAACATAAACCCCAAATCACCTCATTCTTGGCTTTCAAACAAAACTCACAGCTATGGACACTAAACAAAGTAGTTTAGGGGTCTTGCAGAAATAAAAAAGGTATTTTCTACACAAATGTGGTTTATCAACTGACACCAAGTCTTTCCTCAGATTTTGTGCTGAACATATAACCTTTTCATTCTCTTTACTTCTCTCCTCTACTAAACTACCAATCAACTGTGGTGTCCTCCATAATTATATTACACTTAGGAAATAAACATTTCTTGCAACAATAGATGAGACTACTACCTGAAGAAGATTGTTTTCTCTATTACTATGACTCTTCTGTTCATAATTACAGTGGGCATACAAGAAAACTCTTGATAACTTCCTGTTAATAGTTTTCCAAGTCACAGTTTATTTGTACTGGAATCACAAATAGGCAAAACAATTCTCTCAAGTAACAGCATTTAGGAACTAAGCTATGAAAAATAACAGCAGTGCATGAAGCTAGATATTAAGTCATTTTATAGAGACATGAAAAAGTCACATGAGAAAGGCAGACCAGGATTTTTGCTTTTTTCTTGGAAGGATTTCTATACACAGTAAAATTACAATGAACTTCAAGCATGCCAAGATTTGTTAGAGTTCTTAAGCCACAAATTCTTCTTAAAACTAGATCTGCAACTATGTTCCCAACTGGAGGGAAATAGTGCCTCATATAGGAAAGGTTGCCTCCCGTTACATTAAGAAAAAAACCACACCAAACTACTGAAAGTCCTTGCAGCTGTTTCAGGGTAAGTCTGCTAACAATGCAGCAGGATTTCTAAAACAATATACCAAAAGACCAAAACAATCTGAACTTTACAAAAAAATATCTGTTACACTCATATATTCCATGCTTACAGCCTAATAACTTTGATTCTTCAGTTCTCAGTTCTGATGTTCTCAGTTCCACTCAATCCCATTAGTTCAGGAACAGGATTTCACCTACAACTTGAAAGTCTGCAGCACAGAACAAAGATGAAAATCTTACTATGCAAAGTTTTTGTTGACTTAAGTTAACCAGCTTAAACAAAGCAGGTTATTGTAACAGCCTGTTCATTCTCCTCTCACACCACTAAGCAGAGCTTTAATAACCCATTGAAATCTACAAAGTAACTAGTAAACAACAGGGTTTCTACTAATTTCACATAAATAGAAATATGATTCAAAAAAGTAGACATAAGGCTGGATGAACCCTTTTCAGATAAAACAACTCTCTCCTGTCCAATTAAGCTTCTTATGTACTTCAATAAAGCAGACAAGTGACATAAGGACAGCTGACAAGAGACATAACTCAATACACATTCCACAGACCTTTCTGAACTAAAGACTCCATCTACAAAACACCATTCACCAGAAGACACTTCACTTAAACAACAGATAAACTAGAAACTAAGTTGGTTCCCAAAGGAAAAACCAAGTTTCGTATTCTCATTCTTACCTACTTCTGCTAGAAGAAATGAAACAATGCAAGATGCTTGTTCCCCCGACTTCTTTCTCATCAAGCAATAAGAGCAACAGCTTTGCTTCCAAACAAATGCTAATATAGTTAGGTGATATTTTTGTGTTTCTTCGAGTATTTAATTAGGGTTGAAAGACAAAAATATGTCTTTGTCATTCACTGTTGCCAGGAATTTATTTTGGCACAATGGAAACATCCACAAGATTTATTTTATTTCTGAACACCAATTCCAGTTCATAGCTACCTGTTTATTTTATCCACTGTCCTTATTTTTAGATACTAAAACACATACTGATGTGCCCTAGGTCTAAATATTATCAATCTGCATTCCTCCACATAATTCCACAGAAGTTGAGAACTCAGATCCTCTTAAAGAAAGAGGGCAAAACAACTTGTTATCTCCTGCTTTTTTTTAAAATTTTATTTTTAATTAAGGTGTTCCCCTTTTTTCTTTCAAAATTTTCCTAAATTTCTTGATTAGATATAGGGACTTAGCATACAACCAAACTAATCACCACTACCATGTTTTTCTTCCCTTCTCAAATATCATGGAAAAGGTAACTTTTATGGGTTAAGTCCTAATGAGACATCCTTAACTTATACTGTAGAATAGCCACCTAACACCTATTAGAGGCAGCATGGTAAAAAGGCACTTGGGGCAGGCTTTTGGAACTAAAGTTACCATCACACATATGGCAAAAAACTTCTCTGAAGGATCACAGATATTGAGAAGAAACGTCATATTGCTACTCCCTTATTCAAAAAAATAAATATCTGGTATCTCCTGAATCAATTGCTAACATGAGTACACTATGCATAACAAAATTTGCAACTGTGAAATTTACAAGCAACCTGTACTCATTTCACCATGTTTGCATGGAATAATAATGCAGACTGACACTCAGTGTATGAAGGTGGTAAATATTACTACAGCACTTGAGATCTCTAGCTATGGAGAAGGAATTCTTTGTGCTATGTACTGTACAGTCAGGACAGAGCAAAATTTATTTCTACCAAGAGACATTACAATCCTAGACAAGAAATATATGGATTCACAGCAAAAGGAACTGAAATTAGACACAGTAATGGGCATTTATCTCAACAAAAAGCACTACTAAGATTTGGGGAGAGGTTGATTTAAAGGTACTGAAAAAGGTTTGAAAGGAGTATAATGAGTTCTGCAGATATCTATAGGAAACCCCTTCAGCCATAAGAAAGAGTGTAAAAGCCAAAAGGGTTCCGCTCAAAATTAATGAATGAACAACAAAGACTGGTACTGCAGGCTGAACATAAGCAAGGACAGAGCAAAGCAGCAAATCAAATAATCAGTAGGTTCAGACAGACTAAAACAAGTAGTTTATATGTACCACAATTTATAGTATCACAATTTAAAGGAACAGGCTGAGATGCAAACAGTAGGATGGCATCTAGTGTCTAATCACTTTGATAACAATCTTTTGAACAGTAATTTCAGTGCAGGAATGGAGGCTATAGTTGCAATTATCTAGTCCAAGAAAAACATACAGCAGAACATAAAAAACTAAAATTAACACTTAGTAAATTACACTTGAGTAGACACAGAGATAGAGAAAAAGATTCCAGAAATGCCATGGAGTAAAGATAAAACATGTACAATACCTTCTTCAGTGTTACAGAAATACACCAGAAAAGACAGACCTACCACCTCAATATCAAGAGCTGGGTATTTACAGGATAGTGTTTAATTAACAGAAGATACCAGTTTTGACAAAAGGGACACTTAGGTCACTCAATCTGTAAATTGTTGATAGCTGAAGTTTTGTTTGTAGATGTATGCAGCCACAAAGGTACAGAAAGAGAAAAGAAGAGAAAGATATGGACTTAGGATATGGAGGAGTAGAAACATGCAAAAGAAACTGCAGAAATTGTTAGAGTGGTAGAGAGGAAAAAAAAAAAAACAAAAATAAAATGAAAGATCAACATTTTAAGAAAGAAGTAGGATTTTATGTGAGAGGGTGGAAATCAAAAATGAATGGCAGAGAAGTGAGTCTTAATTATAAAAGTCATTAGTTGTTCAGCAACAACCATTTTAGTTGATTCATATTTTGGCTTGTTTCTGTCAAAAACATGTCAAGCCAGCAATTGTGACAGGTAATTACTTTTAGATAATTTTTGCACCTTGATATTGAACACAACTGTGTGTATCCAATTACAAAGGTTTCATTAAGATAATGATATATTTCAACATTTTATGCAAACATAATGACACATTTTTGCTATTTGATGAGTAAAGCTGCAATTTAAATATGTTGTTTACATAAAATAAAGCAGATCCTTTACAATTTTTCATAATTTGCCTATAAGTTTTAAACCAAATTTCACCCTAATTAGTGCATGTATCCAAAATGCTCATCATTGACCCAATCCACAAAAAGGACTCAGAATGAAGTTGGAGCTTACTTAAAATGCATGCTGTAAATACTGTCAGTGCTTTTCATTTTGATGTCTTTCTACTTCTTAGACATGCACTATATGTTCAAGTTTATCTAATGTCCAGTGAAAGATATTTTCCATTGTGCTGTTCTAGAACCCGTTGTGATGGCTTAGAACACCTCTTCCTAAGATGCTTATTACATTTGTGTTTTCCACATATTGTCATGACTATGTCTGTAAAAAATATTATGCCACTACTTTTATTCAGCTTTCTGTTGAAATACTGCACAAGACAAGCTCTGCCTTCATCCATAGTCCCAACATTCAAGTTTCCCAATTTTAAGGAAAAATACTATGTAAAATGCAGTGCACTGAAAGACAGCAATTTTTAGCAACATTGTTGTTTTGAATAGAGCCCCTCACAATACCAATGCGCTCTTGTAAAGTTCCATTTCATCTACAAAAAGCAAACATTAGCATCTTTATTTTATTGTTCACAAAGCAATGCTATAGAAATGTCTATATGTAAGATTGTTACAAACAAAAAGCATCAAAAGAAAAAAAGCAATGAAACCATCACTATTACACTTTTTCGATGCTGATTTTATCAGAACTAAAATCAGGTGCCTGTATTCAGTTTTATCCCTGTTTTCAGATAGCTTGGTTTATTTCTATGGTCCTGAAATACACAGATAGGTAAATGAAGAGAGATTAATTCAACTCATCTTCACTAAGAAATCTTCATTAGGAAGTACCTTTAATTTTAAAGCCTCTCTCTTCTGAAGTTTTAGATGTTTCTATTTAGATTACAATACTGCTCTAGTTGGACCAATTTCCGCAGGTTAATCACAATTACATTTCTTTAGGTATGGGATGAAAATTCACCCGGCTGAATTGTAACACTGCTACTATTATTTTATCACAATTATTACAATGCCTCTACAGTTGTATAGAAATTCCTACAGAGTACCTTAATTACTTTTTCATCCATAGATTTCAGAATACGTTGTCTAAGAGGTTTTGGAGAAGAGCCATTGGATCGTGCTGGAGATCTATATTAAAAAGAGGTAAGTATTTAGAACATGTAAAAGCAATTCATTAATAAAAACTGTTGCCACACCAAGTTCCTCAGAAACAGAAAGGCAAATACCTTTACTCTTCAAGCTTTACCTTTTTTTCTACCTTTCTAAGGACCCACGTGTAGTGTGCAACTGAAGAGAGCACAAAGAAAGCAAACCTACAAGTCCAATTTCTGGTACTCATTTTGCAGTGTGTTTCCAATATTGTAGCTCTGCAGACACAGTATTATTATTTGTAAAGCTAGTGATGATCTTCTAAGCCACCATTCTACTTACTGAATAGCATCTGGTTGACATTCAATATAGTTTTCCACATATTTCACACAAAATGTTTCCACTCTCTTACATGTCATTATGTAAGTAGCTAGGAAAAAAATTGATGCCTATAATGAAAAAAAAATCAATGGTGCATATAAAGGGGAATTTTTTGGTCTTGAAATAAGAACTAATCTATGCATTTATAAGTAATTACTTCTGTTTAAGGCCACGGCAGATCAATGTGCATATGAGGACATGTTCTTCAACAATAATTCATTATTTATTTAGCTTATTTTATCTAATTTTTCATAAATAAAATTTTGTTTGTTTAGCTTCTTTATTTTGTTTATTTCTAGTTGTCTACGATGCAAAATGTCTGCCAGCCTTGCAATGGTTCTCCTATTTTAATTGCCAAAATACGTAGCTTCAAAATAGCTTCATCATATTACTGTCTACACTATTGTTCTGGTTCATGAATCCCCTTTGTAACCAATCCTCTTTGTAACCAAATTCTCAGCATCCTGTTTTTTCAACAACTGATGATTCCTCAGGACCAGTGACCAAATAAATCATCACTGCTTCTTCAGTGCATGGATAGGTGAGTTTCCTTGTCGGTGCCCACAGAAATGGGTTTTCAAGTGTCCTTCATAGTTTGCAGTCCAGAAAAGCACTGTATCAAAAAGTATCTTGAAAATACAGAAAATACAAATGAAGACTTAGAAAACTTTTGAAAACTCGAAACTGTTCTCAAATTGCTTTCCCTTTACACCTAATCTCACAACAGACTGCATGTTGGTTATTTGCTCTGTGTAAGTAACTTCAATGCTTTGTTAGACTCAGATCCTTAAAAAAAAGCACAAACAAATTAACACAATAAAAGCAACCTCCTAATACTCACCTGAAGAGTGTCAAAACAGAGGTGATGCCAGACAAATTTAAGCTTTCATTGTCACACAGCAGATCTGCTTTGTTCTGGGTAGGAGGACTGACAGCTTCTTCGTCCAGAAGAACTAGCAAGACCTTTACAGTATCTCTGCCACAATATGCAGTGCCATGATTTATGGAATGCAATTTTGGCTGAAAGTAAATGAAAAAGGAACGTAAAACAGCAAAGTTCAGCAAGCCAGACCAATAGCTCACCTCCAAAATCAATCTACATCAGCACAAGGTGTGAGAATGCCCGCCTTCCCTTTTGCAGTAAGGGGAATTTATGCAGAATTTCTCCATGGGAAAATTTTTCACATCCTAGGTAGTTAGTGGAGTTTAGATCATTGACAGCTACGTGTATACACTGATGAGCAAGTCACACAGAAAAACATATACATCTGTGCTGAAACTGCAGCAGAAAGGAACCTTTTATTTTCTGGTACACAAACACGTTCTGGTGAAGTCCAACCACTCCGACTAACAATCAGCCAAAGCAGTTGGTTAAAAGTGACATTTCCATCAATATTTGACAACGGAGGTATGTGGCACAATTTCCTGTTGTTTGGGTGAATTCCCCACGATCTTCCACAAGAATAAAGAATTCCTTAAAGAAAAAAAAAAACAACCTGCATCTGGAAGTGCTCAATGCAACAGTCAGCAGTACAGATGGAGAAATCCATAGCCACTGTGGGACTTAAAATAACTTGAAAGTTGCTATATTTTTCTTTAAAGGCACTAGGAATTCCACAGCGAAATTTAGGGCTTAATACACAATGGTAGTTATTTAAAAACTATAGGCTCTCTTATTCACCAATACACAGAAACACTGAATACTCTGACTTGATTCTGAAGGGCAAGACAAGCAATGAACTGCATTTATCTAATCAGTTAACTGCTTTTAAACACAGTCTTGAAAAGATCAAATTCTATTTTTCTCTCTATTTGATTACATCAATTAGTGTATGTAGCTTTCAAGAAACCATAGCAACAAATGTCAGTCAGCTACTATAAGTTATAATCAATAGCTAGAAATAGCAATTACAGAAATGGTTGTTACTTGGCTTTACAGAATTGGCCTATTTAAGTACCATTTAATTTCCTCAAAATTTATTCTGAACCTCTTCAGTCATTACATCACCATAACATAGATTTTTTTATTAAATGTCACATGTGCCATTGTGAATTTATCTTAATGAAAGTACAAACTCTGCATCATCTTGACTGATGATACGCAAAGAAAAAAAACCGTTAGAAATAACTTTCAGAAATCTCAAGTATTACAACACCAGAGACTCACTCTCTGTACTAACCATGGACAAAAGTCCAAGGCAAAATAAGAATTCTAGGTAAGATAACAAAGATCTCAGTAAGACAAAAAAAAAAATCATGCTTTATTTATAAGCCTAATCATTAATCAAATTATTTTTTAAATAAAATAGTTATAGCCAGATTCTATTTACAGTAGTAATTTTCTCAGGAAGAAATAAATCATAATTCCTATTAATCACTCATGCAGGCTTCAACACAAAATAGTGCTTCCTGCTGCATAAAGTAGTAACTTCTCCTGGAGCTCTATCTTCTTATAAACTAGGTATTTGCAAGAAAACTGAACAATGATGGAAGAAAACTGCCACTGCCAGGAGAAATGCAAATATTTTTTCTAAGGAAGTTACACTTTTCAGGTACATTTTATGAGGAAGCAGCCTTACCAGGAGCTAGTAGAGGCATAATTTTCACCTCTATACTTAAGATCATATATTAAATTTGCACTCAAAGAAATTATTTCATCTCTTGCACAGGAAAAAAAAAAAGCCTAACATTCTATCAATCCAAAATTTAAACAGAATATAGATAATTTTTTTCTGAACAATTATAGCATCAGGGGGCTTTCTTATTAATTAAAATCAAAAACAAAACCCCCCAAGCTCTATGTAAGAATCAGAAAAAAAGAATTAATCTTTGCTGTCCTGAGATCTTAATAGAAAAATACAGATGCACTAATTTCTAACAGAGATTGAATTAATTTGGAAAACTTATTGGACTTTTTAAATTTTTCTTTCTCTTTTCATTACAAAAGGCAACCTATCCCTCCATATGTTTAGTAACATCCACACCAAATGGTTCCTCCACACCAAGTTCCACTAAAATATGCCATTTAGTATCACTATCTTAGCATTTGTCTAAGCTCCCTTTTCCACTCCTCAGCTCTCTGAATCATATGCTTAAGGATAATTGTTAAAATAGAAATTTGTAACAATCTTCAAAGACTTCACTTGCATCAACAAAAAGAATTCCCCACACCAAAATAACAAACACAATACTGACAAAGGCAAACAATTTTCACACATGCTACCCCTCATCCCTCCACAATTACAAAAAAAGAAGCTTCCTCACACTTAGTCTACTCTCTACCAATGTTCAGTCTACATTTGCCCATTACCTCTCTCACCTACTGTCCTTATCCCTAATTCCTCAGGCCCCACAGAGGACTGTGCTGGCTGACCCTGGTTAGCCGCCAGGTGCTCACCAAGCTGCTCTATCCTTCCTTCCCCTAAACAGAATAGGAAGTGAAAAAATCTCGAAAAAAGCTTATGGGAGTAAGATGAGGACAGATTGTTCACATACAAATCATAGGCAAAAGAGATTTGACTTTATGAAATTAATTTCTTGACATTTAATCATAATGGGATCCCTTTTTCCTTCCTGGACTCAACTTCACTCTCAACTTTTCTACCTCCTTCCCTCAACTGGCACAGGGGGATGGGGAATGAGGATTGCAGCCAGTTCCTAACACTTTGTCCCTTCTGCTGCTTCTTCCTTATGCTCTTCCTCTTCTCCTCTACGTGGAATACCTCCCATGGGATACAGCCCATCATGAACTTCTCCACTGCAGGTTCTCCCCACATCATCAGGACACAACCATCTTTGCCATCTTCTGCCTCAACAAGGATACTGCTAAACATTTCTACAGAGTCATCAGACTATGAACTTCTGGAGAACAGTAAGAAACAAATATTTTGGAAAAGCAATGGTGAATCTCCCTCTCTGAAGAATGACGTTTTAATAAAATGCTTTTACCTGGCTTATAATGATCTACATGATTTTTTAAAACTTTGTTGGTAATACAAGTAGCTAAATAAAGACAGAACTGATGATAGTTATATTTTTCTCTGATGGGAAAGAGAAACAAGTAGAAGGACATGAAAGGGAAACAAGGCAATATACTGAACAAATACTCATAGCAAAATGGGATTAAATACTCATAGGAAAATGAGGATGAAATATATATCCAACATACTCAGTGGAAACACGTTTAAACCAGCTTAACTAGCCAATAGGGTCTGGCTAGTTTTACCTATCTTAAAAACGAAAAAGGATACTGAAGGTTTGATTAAAATGTGTTAAAAATCTTCTGCTACCCTGGCATAAATCCAATGACTTTACAAAACAAAGTATCCTAACAATTCTAAACACAATGAAGGTGTCTAATTTTTTTTAATTTGCTAGAAAAACAAAGTACATTAGATATACATCAACAGTGTAAAATAAAATAATTCAAGTTGGTTGATTTTTTCATCACAAAAAGATTATAATCTAAACAGGAGTAGATTCACAGTACATGAACCATAGATACACATCCTGTATTGTGCCCTCAACACCTGACTTACAGAATTTTAAATATCCTGATTCCTTCCATGAAAACAAAGTCATTGATAGATTCATTAGTGTCTTGAAACACTAAAAGAGAATAAGCTTACACATGATTGTCTGGGGCTTTAATTCCCTTCCCACTCCACATTTTATCATGCTTTAGATTTCTTACATATTTAATATTACTTTGAAGGCCTTACCCTTTGAAATACTTGATGCTGTACTAATTTAAACCTGCGTATTTTAATAAAAAATCACTGATACATGTTCTCAAATCTTAATTCTACTTTCATGAGGTTCTTTTGTTTGGAAATTTATTATACATTTACTGTTTTGAAATCAATGGCACATCTGACACTTCTAAGTATCTACATTTATAATAATTGCACAACAAAATTAAGCTTTGAAGAGTATTTTATTTGCAATTTTAAGGTAAGAAATTTAGTTTATGTAAATCAGTTCTTTGATATCCACAGTGTAATCCTTAAGTATAAGTCTTTTCAACAAGTCTAAAATCACAGCATAAAGGAAATGACTACTTTATACAGCTAGGAAAAAGATTATACTCTATAGATAGTATTTTAAAAGAAACAAATCAGGCAAAAGATTTTTGCTTTCTTATAAAGCTAAATAGTAAAAAGAACAAAAGAAGTCCCATTACCCGTGCTGGACTGACTCCAGTAGTGCTAGCAGTCAAGGATTCCTGTTGTGAATCGATAATATTTTTAATCTTCAAATCCAAGTCTTGTACAGCTTCCTCTACTGCCTGACAGAAAGGATCCCCATTGCTTCGGCCTTTTATCAAATGCATCTTCACTGTTGACAGAATTCGCCCCCCTGCGATTCTGAAAATAGGCACAGGGTCATCTCCACATTAATCTTGGCAACACTTGAGTACACCTATTAATGCTGAACATAGCCAGCCTTCCCTGCTCATCAGAGAGAACAGCTTTGATCTTTTAAATCAAACAGCAGCGTAGACCTATTGTCCAACACAATAGTTTGCTAAAAAAAAAATTATAAGGTTCAGCATTTAGTAATACTCTGAGCTGCAATACAAAACTAATGTCTCCTTAGAGAGCCAAAGAAAGGTACTTTCTTTAAACCTGTATGTACAGTTTAGCTCAAACTGTTATGTGTAAACAAAATTTTTCACTCAAACATGCATTCCTGTTTAATACCCCATTAGATCTGGGTTTTTTGTGCTTTGTGAAGGTGCTTCAAAATCCCAATCTTCTTTCAGTTTTATTTAAATAGACAGTAATTAGACCACATGAACTTCCCTATTAGCTATAAAGGCACACTCCATTAATCTCTTTCTTCGGCACATGTGTCTGACTACATTAAGATTTTGTGAAAAAGAGAATAAGCTCCTTGAGTTAAAAGCTTAAAATTTTTTTTCCAGTACCTAAACAAAGTATGTATGTATGTTTTACCACTGCTTCTTGGGCAAAGAAAATAAAGCATTTAAAGAACCACTCAGCTCTCCTACATAAAAATCCATCCCTTCCCAAAAGCTCTTTTTTTCCTAAATGAGGTTTGCAATTCACATCAGAGCAGAAATGCAGCATCCTGAGCTGTCATTGGCACCTACAGTAGACTTTTTAGTACATTTATGTACATTAGTACATTTATGATGCTGCAAATGACAGTTCTGTCAATACCCCAAAGCAGTGGCTTCATTACTCCAGGTCATATAGCCAAGAGTGACATGACTCAGTTTTTAACTTCCCCCATCCTTACTGGTCTCCTTTATGCTCTTGCCAGCTTGCCCTAGAAGGATAACTTGCTACTGCAAATAAAGATGGATTTTGTACACATTAAATTCTGAAGATAAATCTTAGAATTCCAGTTGGGAGAACCTTCATCAAATGAAACTCTGCATGTCTACATTCATATAAAATACAAAATAATTGGGCAGAACTAGATAAGAATAGGAATTAAGTCAGAGGAAAAATAGTTGTTTCTATTGTTTCCACTTAAAATACATGGAGGGAACTGGGCCAGAGACCTTACTGTTTTGGTTTTTTCTGGCTGAAGAAGACTCCTCTAAATAGCTTGAAAAACCTGACATTAACGTGAAACTTTGCAGGGGGGATTGTTGATGGGTTTTTTTAAACAGAAAAAAACCAAATATTTCCACACAATTCTCAACTTCAGCTTTTACAGACTAAAGATTATACAATTCACATTAGATTTGCAGGCTTCATTAAACAGAAAAACTTTGCTTTGAAGAAATTTAAGCACAGTGTATGCACTTGGCCAAAAGAAAAATCACCATGTCCAGTGTCTCTGTAGACAGGTCAAGAACCATCAAGACCCATTGGAAATGACAGTTTAAAAAAAATATAAAAAAACTATTGTATCACTTCTCTAAATCCCACAACTCAATCTAACCACACAAGAATGAAAAGTTCAAAGGGAGGGGAAAAAAAATCCAAGTTGTCAAGAGGTACAGGGAGAGAAATGTTGAAGAAGAGCTCCGTTTCAGAGATGCATATAGGAACTGCAGCCAAGTCTCCTGATGATTCTTGCCAGACTGACCTGCTTTCCTCAATCCTAAACTTATATTTTCCAAAATCATATCCTCAAATGAGAAAAGTATTGTATTAAATGAGAACTAAACCTAGAACTCCAAGACAAATGGGCAGGTGAAGGGATTGACTAGAATTCCCTGTGAAAACCAGGTTCAGTTATTTCTGTCTACAGAGATGTTGACTAGAATTCCCTGTGAAAACCAGGTTCAGTTATTTCTGTCTACAGAGATGTTGAACTTACTTGTAAATAAGCAATAAATTTATCATTTCCACACATTTAACATATATACCCATATGTATGCTGAAAGAAAATATTATTATACAACTAGTACTGGGCACTAGCACAGTTAATTAACATAAGCATGCCCTTAATTTAAATGCTTTGCTCTGCATGTAACTCAATTATAGATTCATAGATTTTCAATGGGAAAAAATAACAAACCTTTCACAAAAATATTTTCTGTTTATTTTTTTGCCTCTACTGCCCAATGCCAACTAAAGATATTTGCTAGTAGAAATACAGTTCATTTAATCTCCTCTTCTCCCCATATTCCTTCATTTCCAGGAAAGAGCTCCAGTCTCCTATCAGATATACAGAGTACTAACTGGAGCAAGGAAAAGTTTATTTATACTTCAACTAGAATTTAGATCGACAGGCCAAGACATAAAATGCTGATTCAATGTGTGTGGACTAGCACTGAAATGCCCTGCCACAGCTTATGCCATTTTACACCAGAACATAAGCTGTGTTGTGTCATTAGGCATATATATATTTATGTGCATATATATATCTCCATATATATAAAAATATAAAATGCCAAATCTAATTATTAGATCCATTTCTAGTGAGGCTCAAAAAGATTAACTACAAGCATGATGATAAAAGGGAAATGTAGTAAAAAAGCACCTGGGGTGTTTAGGGTTTTGTTTATTTTACAAAGATGACACCCTATTACAGATTGCTCTGATATTACTCTTTCATAGAATTATATTACTCAGAAGATCAGCTGAACTTGAATGAACTTTAAAATATCTGATATTGCACAAAAAAATATTTATAGGAATAAAATAGAGTTGGAAACTTATCCACTTTGCAGCTCCTAACAGCCAGAAGGACCACAAAGGTTTGTTTTAAATATGGAATTACATCGCCATCTCTTCAGATAATTTTTACAGCAGAAAAAGAACTTTTGTTCTTTTTAATTCTGAAGGAGAAGCAAAAAAACTAGTTGAATTCAAGAATGAACTTGATATATTAAACAAAGCAATGCCATTTGTCTAAAGCAATTGGAAAGGCCTTATCCCTTCTAGTCAGTGCTCCTGCTAAAAGGTTTTCTGTGATGTTCCATTCAGATCACAGGCTACTGAGATGAGCTACTCTATGATAAAGTGCTTCAGTATCACATCCATAGTCTAAACTGTATCAAAGGAGGGCTCTTACCAAATCCAGTCAGCAAGTATAGTCCTCAGCTGCCACTGGCAAAGGTTGTAAAAGAGCATTTTTTTAAAAGGTAGTAATATAATTCTGTTCAGAGTCACATGCCACATTTCTTTGTTCAAAATGTATGAACTGAAAGACAACTCAACCAGAAAACAAAATTCTTTTTCTATGATAGAAATAGCCAAAGGAAATTCATCAGTGTAATTATAAATGGAAGAAAACCCCAACACTTTAGAAACAACCACCTTCCACTGTCCAACCGAATGTTCAAGCACAGATGCCTGAAGTCAGTGGTACAGTGGCAAATGAATGGATCCAGTCAAGTTCAAATGTGACCATCAGCATGAAAATTCACAACTACTTTAGACCAACAGACAGAAGGAGTGGCTTACCTTCTGCAGCTTTTTTAGCACTAAAACAGTAGTCAGGTCAAGCAGGATTCAGCTCACCTGTCTCAGCTAGAGAAAAACAAATGTCTACATATAGATAAAATGAATCTTATGTTAAAAATGCATTATTTGCACCAGGGCTTCTAAAGAGCTTAAAAAAATAAAGTGCAGTGTAAAAACTCCACTTGTTATTCAGGCACTGGACAAATCTGATCTTCTGTCACGGGTTTCTTCTACTAAAAATACTGACAGATCTTATGCCTCCTTGAACTCTTTTTGCCTTAAATCATCTGAGTCCCAGCCTTACCTTTTTCTATCTCATTTTCCTTATCAAACCATCTTTTCTTATGTAGAAGTAACTAATTTATAAGTAATAGCACACCTTGTCTATTTTGTTCCTACTGAGATTGTCATATAAACAAGCTCCTCTGCTTACCAAAAATCTCAATTACATTGGCAAGAGCTCTTCCTCCAGAACTCAGGCCTTAGTGTGAAAAGTTATGATGCAGGAGCACTTTTATTTATTTTCTGAAAATACATCTTTTTTGGAAAAGACTAAAATAGCAAAAACAAGAATAAAAAATGTTGAGGATATGGACAATATTCAAAACCTGATAAAAAGCAGAACAGAGTCCTGAAATCTATTCCAAGAACAGAAAAGAATGTGTCAAAATTCTATTATACTAAGGTCAACATTTTCATTCATTCATTTCAACTTCAACAGAGGTAAAAAATAGATGACAAATATATAACTATCTCACTTAGGTAGTGGGAACCAGTGTCTTAAAAGAAATCACAAACACCCAGTTATCACAGGGTGGGAGGAGATCACAGCCTTTTTTCCTTGTTATGGATTTAAAAGATGCTTTAGGACTTGACAACAACTGCTCAGTTATCCAATTTTTTAATTTAGCGCTATAGAAAGAGAGCAGCAGTAATTCCATTCTCAAACACAAAGCAGCAAGATGTCAACTAGAGCTCCATCCACCTGGGTAGAAGAATGGGACAAAACATATATAGGAAGAAATACTACACAAGTGTTTCTAACAGAGCAGTAACTGTGCTTTTAAAGCAGATCTAAAAGCTTATTTCTTATGTTACAAGCATAAATTTAAAAAAAAAATTAGCAGTTCCTGTTCATTTAAATTTCAAAATTTCAACAATAAAATCATATCAGTGAACTTATCTAGATTTTAAATATATCTGTAAAGGAAAAAACTTTATCAAAGCACTCACAGTACTCAAAAATACCACCTCCAGCAATGCATGTATGACTATTGATCTAATTTTCTGACAGATACCAAAATTAAGTGAAAACTCTTCCTTAGACCCTTTGGAGTTTCACAGATTATTATATCCATAACAAAAACACAGCAAAAAAGAAACCTGTTTTAGAGTATTTTTCCACCTTGCTGCTGATACTTTTGCTGTATTGGCTAAAATTTCTCTTTCAGCTTCTTGGAAGAAATTAGAGTGAC